GACGAATACGATCGTGATAAAGGACCGAAAAAATGAATCCAACCGAAACGATAATGCGATGAATCATGCTGTAGCTACCATATAGTCATCGCACAATACGTTTTGCGATATCCGCGTGGATCTGCAAGTGTTGTCATGCTGCGTACAGATACAAGTCAACCGAGACTTTCTCCATCCATTGTTTGACGGGCGCGTCTGGCGACGATACCGTACGCTCATAACAGGAGCAAGCAGTGTCTTTTTTTTTTTTTTTTTTTAAGAAAAACGCGCGTTTATTGTGATTTGTAACCGTCTGGTATTATTCCAGCGTGATGGCGAAATAAATTAACCGCAACGACTAGTTGTATAATTAACTATTACTACCTATAAGGCACTGGGTCAATGACAACGTTTTGCGTACAATTAACGTACATATCATACGAAAGTTTTACTTTTGGTTGGGCGAATACATTGCTGCAGAAAATTCGTTAAAACGATGTCTCGCGAACGATTTTGTTATTTATTTTTATATTTATTTAATAAACGCCATAATGGGCTCAAGTACTATTATAATAATACGGATCAGATAAACTTAACATATATATACAATACAATTTTGTAAGATAACAATTACAACACAGAATTAAAGCAAATACTAAATATAAATATTATTTAAACATATATAGGCTGCAGCCGATAAACTGGCAATACAATAATTTAAACTTATTACCTGATCTTAAAGAATTCTCAACCATAATAGTTTGGTGGTTGCTAATTTATGATGAAAAGAAGAACATATTCGGAATTATAACACTGAGGTACGTGGAAGAAAATACATCCAAGATATAAGGAACAATTAATACGATTGTAAATTATTTAAAACTAAATTTTTGTTTTTCTCCACTTGTTCAATTTTAAAAATTTAAATACACGGCAAAACAATATGTTCTTGTCTGATGCGACGGGTACATCACGCGTCAACACTCCAAAGGACGCGAAGACGGTTGCTGCGGGACCCGTTATTTATAGTAGTTCGTAGATTATACGCGTTTTATCCTTTACCCTTTTCATCGGCCAAACGTAAAACACACGAGTCAGACGCACACATTCGAATTCTTATTCGAATGAATTAGTATAAAATTTAGTTTACGGGCACTAGCTTATTTTTCTTTTTTTTTTGCTTTTTGTTTAAACTGACCGACAAAGGAAAATTCCATCATGTGTTTCATCGTACTGTATCGTACGTCGTTTAACCCAATCAGCGTTGACGAGACCGCGATATCATTATTCGTTTCGCGCGGGCCCTGCACAACAACCGTTGATGTCCAATCAGAAAGGTATAGTTGTAATATACATTATATTGAAATATGCGTGCATGCATGACGATAACACGAAGGACAACGAATCGGTGTATAACATTTTAAATGCATTTATGTGTTGAAAGTAAGAATATTCGAGCTGAATAAATTGAAAGTGAATGTAAACGGACCGTTATATTGTATGTAGCGTTTGAGAACATGTCAACAAATCTCTTTATAGATCGGACAAAAACACGCTGGGTAAGGTGTAGTGATGATGATAATAACGATGTTTAAAACATACTTGATAAATAATTTTGAAAGGAGATCAAAAGTCGGCGTGATAGAAAAATTAGAAAATGAAACAATTTTTTCTTCATCACTACCGTAGCGCAAATATTGTCCAAATATCGCATTCACATGACACATTTTAACAATAAGTTATTTAATTTAATTGCTAACAGTTCGTGAATAATATTAATATTATACATACAATATGTTAGTTATTTGTGATTGACATAAGTAAAAAAGAAGCGGATAAATAGCATAAAAGGTAATATAAGAATAATCTCATGTGGATATATTCTGATTATATAAATCTTATTAAATATTTATATTATAATTATTATTTATCAGATTGGCGTAAAAGATTTATTTTATATTAACACAAATTAAAAATTACCTCAAATATTACTATAACTTTTACTAAATAATCTGGAGTTAAATTTGAACAATAAAATTTCATATCGATAACACCGATTGTGGACAGGGTAATAACGTGAAAGTTTCAACAGATCGATTCAAATGCATTATCACGTTTTTGGTATTTAAATTCTGATATTAAAATACATACTTTCATGAAATGAACATACACAATTAATTTTTATACACAAAATGTATTATATACTTTAGGTCGAATGTATTATGAAAATTATATGTAAAAATTACAACGGACTTGCAATCATTTTATTGAAAATACGAATACTAAAGTTCCTTAATAACCTTAACATAAATCATGAAACGAGACGTTTATTAAATTAAATTATATTTAAGTGCTTGAAACCAACTAGTTTCCATGTCTTATATAGCTTATGAATAATTTAATACAACCTATATACATAAGTTGTTATATACTCGTATATACATCATAAATTAAGAACTAGTACGGTGCTTTTAGTTCTAAAAATACGATATTTTATTTCTGTTTAAATTGTATAAGAAAAAGTATGCTAATTGTTCATCATAATATTTTAATGGATCGCGAAAGAAAAAAAAGAAATAATGAAAAAATACAATAAACGTAGTGGTTTATAGTATAATGCATTGTTTCCTATGGTTAAGTTAAAAATTATTCAGAAAGTAACAATTACACGGCTTGCAACTTGAACGGATATTATTTAAATGATTATCGTGCATTAACTTTCGAAAAATATTCATCGTTTTTAAGCCTCTCGTCTCATTCTCGATCCACTGCAGTAGAAACGAAACAACAATAGATAAAATATTATAAAGATTACGATTCAGTCGAAGTCCAAAATCGACATGCATAGGCAGTATTTGGGGGGGAGAGCCACGAGGGGGAAGTTGCCCGTTCAGAAAAAATATCGGGGTGCAAACTTATCATTTTGCCCCCTTCTAAGTTACATTAATTATTTAAACAATTTTTAATTTTTATAAAATATTTATGTTAAAATTACATTCGTATAATTATATATGAAAATTATTCCCCACGTTAAGTCAGAACAATATTATCAATATTATCAATATTACCATAAATTAATATAAAATTATGTATTAATGTACACGTATATCGATTAAATATATAATATACAATATGTAGTATATTTAATCAATGTTTTAATCAATACTTTTAAAACGTAACATTTTACAGCGGTGGTAATACCTGTTCTGTTAGGAAAAATAAACGCCTATTTTAAAATGCATTTCGTCGAATTAAAAGACATTAAAATATTCTTGATCCGATTTGCATTGGATAGTTTGATCAACCTTACGCGAACAAATAATGTTACGATACAATTTAGTATAAATGTTCACCGAGTAGAGTAGTGTTATATCATATTTTTACCAACGCGCATAGGCGAACGTGGATCGTTCTGCTTCGGCAATATTTTCTAGGCCTTAGGGATCGAACGGTTATTATTATGTATTATAATTATTAAGATCGGTGTCCATGTGTTTTTGGTTGGACTTTTATGACTAAAATTACGTGCATTGAAGTTTGCGTCTGATCGCAAGCAATATTGTTTTGAAACACGCATGCATAACCTAACGAAATCTCAAATTTTGGACCAATGCAATGGTAAAAACTGAATCAAAATACTTTACTGGTCACCTTGCGACGTCGATAATTATACGCGTACACATCAAGTCAGCGTACGTGACTATATAATTACGGATCTAAATATACCTCTTCTTAATTCTAATTTTTGAAATTTCAATTAAATTAACTTAACGATACTTATATATTAATAATATATAGTTTAAAATGCAATTGTATTTTATAACCTAAGAGTATATATATACTTTTTTACTACGTAGTTCATTATTGACTAATATAGTTTTGAAAATTCAGCATGAGTGATTTAGTAAATCAAAAAATTTGCACAATTTGTGGGATTGCGTTGTCCAATTATTAAAGTTTCCAAACTGAAATGTGCTCGGAGGTGGAAAAAAATTGAAAAAAAAAATAGTAAACTAGAGTCGTTAATCATTTGTCTGGCAGCCGTTACTCAATCCGCTGGTCATCATTGTGATTTTCAGTTTACGCAAAAATGAATAACTAATCCAAAACGTAATAATAATATTTCAAAATAATTAAGAGAGTGTCGGAATGTCGGGTGAATTGTTCGATTTTGGAATTTCTCCTCACGGAGTTCCACGGATTTCCAACCTGCATTTACTTCTTTTGTACGCGGACGAACAGAAAATAACCGGATCGACCGGCAAACGGTTATGGAATGTAACACGAACACACGTGCGCGTATCGTCGAGTTTTTCGACAAAGTCTTCAAATGCATACGATTAACAAACAGTCGATAAACTGCAACCCGACGATGCCATTTTCAAAAAATAATTCGAACCGTATTCGAGTTGCATTTGAATAATAATTATTATTCCGTTAGTTGTCGATGCTCGCTGATGCGCGCCGGTTTCATGAACACGAACTATACATACATGTATAGTACACCGTGTTGCATGTTCATGGTACACACGAACTGTGGTAACCGAGGACGATCGGTTGTGCATGTTGCGATGTGCAATTATTACAGAAAAGTTGCGCTGACCTAAAATCTTAATTTCGATTTAATTCCATTCATACACGTGCACTTGTAGTTAAAAGTCCACAACGGGTACTTTATCGACCGTGAAAAACATCCTGACCGAGAAATGTGTACGGGTGATGCACGCCAGGGCGGAGAGAGGGACATGAACGTTAGGTGCATCGGACGATTCGGCTGACCTACGCGACGGGTCGATTCGATCGCGAATTCGTTGATGCGTGTCGCACGGCAGTCGGGTTTTCGGGTTACACGCACGCGCGCTGATTGCACACTACGTGTAATCGAACGTTTAAATTATACGTTGTTACCCATTATTATTATTATTATTATTGCTACATGTCGTCCGACGACGAACGATTGGGCAGGGCGTGGAATGTTTTACTGACCGTTGTATTTGATGTTGTGCTATCTTTGTTCGCAGTAAACGGCCAGACGAAGAGCGCGGGCACTAAATGGGCGAACGCCGAACTGGAAGCGGCCGACGAGTCGTCGGACTTACAGATCTACAAATCCGTTGTGCAGTCAATGGAAGAATGGAAGCAACGGAAGAATTCGTCGAAAAGGTGCTAACGTTATTCGAACTGGTATACCCCCGTATGGAATCGCTTTGAAACTCGGTCAAAAATACTCGCTGGATATTTTTGAATCCGAGAAAGTCAGAAATATTTTTTTTTTTTTTTATTGTAACAGCATCAACATCATGGTTATTAGCTTACAAGATTATATAATTATGTACATAAAGGGGTTTTTACAATGGTGTTTAAGGGGAAAAAGAGAAAATATAAAAATACATAGTACAAAATAAATTATATAAATTAGTTAAATTAAGTTGTACATTTCAATTTTTTTAACAAAAGAGATTATTTTTGGTATGTCTGCGTAAGGTCCTATTCAGAAATATTATTATTGTTATTGTTATTACATTCTGTATGGATAAGAAAACTTCAGCACGAAAGCGATTAAAAGTGCGTACAATATATCACACGACGGCCGCGACTTAATTTCGAACAGGGAAAAATAGTTTAATATTTATGTAAACATTAATGGTATACAAAACGCGCTACGTATTTAAAATTCAAACTGTGAATTATGGTCTACAAGTGGGTGCATCCTAACCATAAATTATTGTTTGTAGAAGACATCCATCTACTATAAACTAACATTTTTTCTATGAATTTCTCGGAAACTAATTCTATAGTACAAAATCGTTGAAAACACGAGTATTATTATATAATGTTTTGGGATGATATTACAAATATTTACTCTTGTCCCTAATAATACTTAAGTACGCTTAATATCTATAGTTTCTTTTAACAATAATAACAAAGTAACTAATATAATAATATATATAGAAATAATTAATTACTAATATGTACTACAATGGCTTTGTACATATTCAATTTTTTTAGTCACGGCATTTTTTCAAATTAAAAACCATCAATAATTAACAAATTGTCGAAAATTCTTATCATGCAGATCGCTTTCATTGTGTAAGACTATTGTTATAATAATGGTTCTTTTCAGTGAATATTATACTCACGAGTACTTTAATATAAAAAAATATCTTCGTTCAAAGAACGAAAAAAAGCTATGTAAAATACTACAAACTTTTTTCGAACTATCTCTACTTCAACTTGGAATATTAATTGGTAAATATTTAATATCCTATTGTTTTGAAATCCTCACTAAAATTTTTTGAGCGAATATGATATATTATAAACGTTTGTCCATAGAAATTACGTCCCATCCATCAATACTCAGATTAAAAGAATTTCAGCACAGACTTAAACATAATTTAACATTTACTCAAGATTTGATCAGGCGGGGATGTGCTTTGAGGCTCTAATACATTATACACTATACCTAGCTGTTGTTATGATGCAACAGCAGCATCTCCACACACAACGTTCTCTACTATCTCTACATATCTCTACATACGCACACACAAACATTAATATAAACACTCTGTGTGTATAATTACACCGAAAGTAATGGTATGACGTGAATCATTAGATTTAATAATTTGACAGTACGCGAATTTTAGATGTTTCCGATTTGAAAATTACTCTTGATTGCATTATCAAGAGTCCCGCAATGTAATTATATACTTTCAGAAAAAAAAAACGGAATTGAAACGCTCTTCACGATTTTGGAACAGTAATCTTTCTCGTTGATAAAAATAAAGTTTGGGATTGCAGCTACGCGTCGGTCAGTGGTTTTTCGAAATCCCAAAGAAAACCATTAAACACCAAGCTCAAAAGATATGCAATTATTAAACTGTTTAAGTCGGGTTAGTTGGTACACATCGAACAATAATTAACACACATTTACTTAAATTCGGTTTTCGGGTTTGGCCACGCGTCGACTCACAAATCAAAAGCATAGATATTGCTAATGGTCTATGATTTGTCTTATAAATAATTGTAGTCATCTTATATTCTTAAACCCTTGCTTAAAAAATTTCCCTCAATGGAGTACATTCAATTTTTTTTATTTTTTATTTAATTTTAAAACCGTTATTAAAAACGGTGTTGCTTGCATTCAATGTGAATTATCAAACAGCATGATTTGGTATGAAACAATTATACTTAAAAAAATATTCAATAAATTATACATATAATGCTGTAGTATGAGAATAAATTTTCGAATTAAAATTTATATTCGATTGCCATTGATTACAAGCTTAATAATAAATAAGTATTTATTTTTTTACAGACAAAAAAGGGCAGAAACGAGTGCTTGCTATCCGGAAGTAGGCTGTTTCGACACTTCCGGTCCTTACGGCTACATTGGAATGGTACCAAACGCTCCGGACGAGGTAAACACCGAATATTTAAGAGTTTTTTTTAACCGTTTTCTGCACCATTACCATTGATGTGACATAATACGAGAACATGTTTTTCAGGTAAATACAAGGTTTCTATTGTACAGCTCGCGAAGGAGCAGACGAGACACGCCACTGCTGGACGTAGCGTTCAAAAACATGACGTCTATCTGGCACTGGGCCGGCAAAGCATTCAATGTGTCCGCGCCCACCAAAGTCATTGTTCACGGGTTTGGTAGTTCCTGTTCAAACGTGTGGGTATACGAAATGAGATCCGCCCTTATGGACGTGGTGAGTAATCCGTACGGCGAAGCTTTTCCTAAAACAAAGTGTATGTTTAGAAATGCTGCTCCGATAATACGAGTATTTCTGTTGAAATTCAAACATACGTCTTGACAAATTCCTTTTATAATCAATTCAGAAAATCGTAGCATTGAATCGAAAACAAACGTGCCATAACTCAACCTTATATCCTAGTAAATATAACATAATATATTTATTATTATCGTTTGTTATGGTTGATTTGAGTGTTACAGCCTATAGAACGAACAATTATTTCTGGCCATTATATCTTTATCGACAGTACCGGCTCTATATTAGAATAGTTTTCATTTTTTCTTGATTACATTTCTGAAAAGCACTAACTCCATCGAAAACAAATTCACACGTCTTATTAGCATAATAATAATATACGAGTATCATAACCACCGCATGTTTATGTTTTCTGTACAACTTAATCTATACGATTGATTTTAAAAATATAAAAACTAAAATTTATCAGAAACCAGACTTATCCACTTGATATGATTATAAACTGAATACATTTTCATTTTTAATAAAGCTTTGATGATAGAAATCGTTATTACGTTTAGTACAAGAGAACTTTAATTCCTCGTAGAACAGGTTTCCACAAAACGCACCAGTATCTCGTTATGCGTACAATTTCCGTTCTAGAAACGAAATCAACTGTTTTATACACATTTACTATAATATAGACATGCGACATATGAAAAATGTATAAATAACTAAATCGTTATATTAGTTACGTACATGCTATATAGTGTCAATATACCACTTTATCTACAATGTAATAATGGTGAACACGGGTCATCACGAGTCTGGTCAAAATAAATTAATAAATAAGTACTTGTAAAAACGATGTTTATTTAAATAAATACTCAAGTATTCTAACGCATTTTAAAGGAAAATCCAATGTAACTTATAGTATACTTAAATACTTAGTTTACTTGAATCCCTCACTTATTTTACACTAAACTTTCAATATTCCAAAACTTCCCAAAAGGTAACTGTTAAATCATGCATGATTATGTCACCTATAATATATAATATTATGTAATGTAGTTACGAAAACATATTATTATTAAATTATCCAAATTATTAAAAACTGCTTATATATATATATAAAAGAGCCATTGACCAATATTTTGATGTCACCCTATAAAGTTGATCCAACGCGCGACCCTTGAAACCTCTTTTGGGCCTTCTTCTATGCCTAGAAAACTTATATTTAAAAAAAAGTCACAATAATATCATAACAAAATCGTTATATGCTTGTATAGTTTTCATGTTTTTACTATAAAACGTAGGTATACGTGCAATGAGTAACGTCTAAAACTATGTATGTAGATCTCGTGTTTTATAGCAACCATAGCGAATCCGATTTCTTGTAGTGGGAGAGCGTGGAAGTCATTATTATTATTATTAAAATCATTATTAGGAGGTGATTATTGACTTCAGGTTTTACTGGCTAATAATATCATATTTTTTAAATTTTTTTTCCACCTCTTACTGTTTTTATGAAAGTGTGAATTGGCCCGCCAACTATAAAAGGATGGACCACCCTACTGTAATGTGTGATATCGATAGCTTTTTTTGCAATTATTAATTATATAATTTATAAGAACCGAAATCAATAAGTCCGTACTAAATGACCACGATCGGCCACTACACCCCACCATACATAATTTGAGCATTATTTGGTTGCTTGTGTACACAAAATATAGAGAATACTATACTATCATATTTTCGCAGTGAATATTGTATCAACGTAGAAAAAATATACAACACGCCGCGAAACCTCGCGTTACTTTCACACAGTTTTCTTGATCACGATAATTGTTAACGTACATGTATCGGTAATGCAACGTGTCACTTAAACGTATATAATATGTTGTAACCCACACAGCACAGATATATTTATTTAATGTTTATTTAACATTTAAAGTTAACCAAGAATATTTAATAAATATGAAATATTGATTTAGTATATGTTTTTTAGAGTTTGTTAAACACTGTATAAACATTAGTTGAACAGAAAAAAAATGTTTATATTTAATTTAAAAAATAATATTTTATGAACATTTACCACTTATTTTGATTAAATGTTTATAATTCAACAAATGTTAAGCAAACCTTGATGATATATTAATTATTGTATTTTAATATATTTAATAAACCTTGATATTGCAATGCACAATATTAATAGCAATATTTTGGTAATATAATTTATTTTTTATTTATTAAATTTCCATGGATTGTGTGATCCATTTACCATATAGATCAAGTACAAATATTGACAGTTATAGTTATAATATAATGATAATAATATGTATGTGATAAGTGTTTATTAAAACAATGAGTATGCTTATAAGCATACAGTCTAATCAACCATTTTACTAAGCATCTATGGAAATATGATCAAAGGAATTAATCTTTATTCAATTCTACTATCGATCTAGACGAATAATGAGAACTTAAATGTTTTTAAATATTTTCTCATTAATTACACTATTAATTAAATGCAATTAAATGTATTGCCTACTCGTATATTATAAAATGTTCATAACGTAATAATATTAAATGAAAGACCCGTAGATATTAGCATCTAAAAAGTAAGTTTTGTTATAAACTAACTACAATCTACAATTTATTTTATTTCTTTCATTATTAGTATTTAGTCAAGTGTTTAAGACTAGTACTTTTTTAATAATATCAAAAATCTAAAATAGTTTAATAATAAATCGTTATTTTAGGTATGCATGAATATTTGATTTCATGAAAATTAAAACTTCAGACAAACATAATTTTTTTTAATTTAGTTACATTTGATATTTTTTATAAATATTTTAATCAAAACTTATGGACAACCTTGTAATTAATTTTCAGTATTTAGCAATTAATACAAGTTTTTATAAATTTTTAACTACAAAATAACTAGCAAATATTCATGATTTTAACGAATTTTAACAATATTTGAATTTCAAATGCTTATAAAAAAAAATTGTAAGACCAAGTTATGTGGAGCCTTGAGTTGAATTTGCAAGTATTTTGTCTTTGCAAAAATTGTTTTTAATATTTATAAAAAAATAACTTAAAAAAATCAAAAATTTCAAAATCCTATAAATTATGTAAATGTAAGCTCCCAGAAAAGCTAATTTCTAAAAAATTACTTACAAATCATAAATATTTACGTAAAAAAGTTTTGCAAAAAGTCAATTTCTGTTTTTGGTAGAGCTGTAGAAATGCCAAATGCGTAAAATCGTTTTTCGGCCGGAAGAGATTTTTTGAAAATTTCGCAAGTAGTCATACAAATTAGTACAAATTACATACTAAATATTTGAATAGAAAAATGTTGCAAAACGTTAATTTTTTTTTTTTTTTTTTGAGGGCTGGAGATACGTCCCTCTCACATTATTTTTTTTTTATTTTCTTTTAAAATAAACTCGTACAAATTCTGATTTTTATCATACATTTTATTCATACAAATTCCATTATTGCAAAAACGTCGTACATATGGCATAATAATGTATAGCTGCTACGGCCACGAAACAATAACGTGGCTTATGCGTCTCGTCCGTTTAGCATTCGAAACATGTGTGTCAGGAACGTAGAAGGAAGACATCACTGTTTATTCGAATATTATTTACGTTATCCGCACCGCAAATCCAAACCGCTGTCGGCCGATCGTGTATAATAACGATGACTTTACGCAACGGTAACGAACACAGTCGACGAGACGAGTACCGCGCAAGTACCGTTTACCAATTCCGAGTACAGACGACTTGCCGATCTTGTCGTGCTCTTCCTGATGGATACAAAACCGTTTTAAAACATTTATACTAATTCGAATCTCCAATCTAACGACACGACGTTTCTTTGGAAAAGTTCGTTTACTAAAAATCTCGTTAAAAATAAATGCAATTTTTTTTCACTCGAAAAAACGTTTTGACTGTACAGAACTACGCAGGCCGCATTCGTCCCGTATACTTTTATTATCTGGTCCGTACTACATTTTTAAATTACTTTATAACATTTTAGCGTTTGTCGGTATTTTATTGCATTCATCGTAAAATGCCGATATTATATTCATGTGCAGTATTGAACTACAATTAAATTATAAAATGTCTAAGGTTATGGTGGTACCATAGTAACCGTAGCTTAAATATACTGTAAATCCATATCGGTATATCAATTGATATTATTATTATATAAGCTATCGGTTACACTTGACGCTGAACACTACAGTTGAGCCATTTTGTTAAATTGACGTTCGACTTTACTATTATATACAATTATCCGTTATCCAGTCACGCGACGCGACACAGATGACTCGTACTCGGACCGGGTCGTTAAAAACGAACGTGGTGCGTGTGTTCTGCCCGAGAATTAATGTGTACGTATGTGTATGTGTGTGTAGAACGTCGGAAAAAAAAACATAAAAAATAAAATGTTTAAGTATCGTAAAAACGTGACGTATTCCTCTCGGCCGTGCCATTTATCTCGATGACCCAGTGGTGACCGCCGAGAGAAGCTACCTACTTCCGCAATTTTCAATTAAAACGCATAGCTTATATTGTTGCGACTTGCCGACAAACAAGTATAATTATGAGCGATTAAGCGTGATTTTTTTTTTAGGAGACCTATTTTTGATGAGAAAAAAGCTTGCTCCGAGAAACATCTTAAACACGAAATTTACTGCTACGGCGGTAATATATTTTATATATTTCTATACGTTTTCGGAAGAGTGCATTAACAATGATATCGTTGCATAGAGTTAATGCGCGTATCATCATTTATATTAATGTCCAATTCATGTGTTAAAGTTGCACGACCACCGGAGAAAAGTTCAGTACACTTTGACGAAATGCTATAAGTGCTCAATGAAATAATATGTGAAACAAGCGCTTCCATCAAATCGATCTCGATCCCGACCGAACCATATTTCAATACGTCTTCCGTTCTGACTAGGATTTTTCTCAACTGCATCGTCGCCGATTCCTTCTCCGATAACCTACTCTCACGTGCGCCAAACAAAACATTATTGGTCCAACACCTTTTGTACGACGTCACATCATATATAATGGTACAAGTACTTAAAATTAAGGCACTGTCTGACCACATTTTTAAAAGTGTTTGTGTGCAACTCACACAAGAATGTATATGATTGTTATTACATAGAATAAATATATCAAATTTATTATATTCTATTGATATAGTAATATTGGCAAATAAAAATTATAGACTTAAACAGAATATACTATTTTACAATTCTCATAATTATAATTTTAGACGTACTTTATGAGTTCCAGTGGCGTATTTAGGAATTTTTCATGGGGAGGGTCCAGATAATTTTCAGAATACAAAGCCGTGGGGGGCTTTGCCCCCCAGACCCCCCCCCCAATTACTCTTTATTACATAAATATACCATATTTATAATACAATTTAAAATGTAGTTGTTACTTTGTCATTTTTGTTCACATTTTCATTCTTTATACATTTAAATGTCAAATACCGCCAAGCAAATTTCATAAGGCACCCAGTAGCATAAATACCATAGTCCATCCAAATTCCACATATTATATAGTATACAATATAAAACATAAGTAGAAGCATTTAGCAAAATATACAACTATGGTCTATGAGGAAAGCAAGCTTAACAACTATAGATTTCAATTATATAATCAAGATAATAATAAATTCAGATTTTAAACAGTAACATACCTGAGAATTTAATTTCTTATTCTAACTTTGCTCACCGTCTTCGTCGATAGACCTTTTCAGATTTAAAGTCTCGGCAGTCTCGCTAGGGGTCTCACTACTACAAGTGGACTCTGTAGACCAAATCGCAGTGAAAAAAGTTGTTATTTTAGGTGTGTTGTTCATTTTGAATTTTTGAAAGATTAATTAAATAAAAAACGACACAGCGAAGTTTCGAATTCGAACGGTTTTGAAGATCATGTAATGCATAATCATAAATAAGAAAAACCGTCCATCATCATTGTTATCTACCGGCTACCGCTATCATTTAATTTAATTTGATAAAAGCAGAGCGTTTAGTTAATAACCAAGAACTCGGTATTTTTCAACCATGTTTGGTTCCAAACTGATAACGAAAAATCGTGATAACAATTGAAAATGTTGATAATACTGACGCTTCGAAATTTTTTTACAAAATTGTTCATATCGACATATGTCATATCCTATGATATAATTTGTTTTTATTAAACATATAAAATCACAAACATTTACATGTACGAGACACGAGTCAAGGGGGGGGGGGG